GGGTGGGAGCAGTGCTGCAGGCACAGCAGCCCCCAGCTGCCAGGAGCATCACTGTGCACAACACCACAGCTCTCAGCAGCACGAGGCGCATCAAGGAATGGGCAAGCAGAGCCCTGGGGGTTCATGGGCACAGCCAGCCMTCCCTCCTGGCACAGCAAGGGGCTCACAGCACCCATCGTGGGGCACAGGGGGAAGCTGCCCCAGGGAAGGCAGCCAAGCTGCTGGCAGTGGCTCTGACCGAGTCCCCCAGCCAGACCCCAGCTTTCCCAGCTCTGTGGGAACAGCCCCAGCTTCTTCTCTTCCCAGAAGGGCCCTGGCACCRCCGACCAAGGGCCTCTTCCCTCGCGGTGCTGCAACCCGTGGCTGAGCCGAGAGTCCGGGAAGCTCCGCCAGCCCCGCGGCTTTCTTGGAATAAAGTCAAGCTGGCGGCAGCAGTGACGCGGCAGCTGGCGGGCAAATCCCTGCTGAAGGTTTCACAAACCTCTCGCTGCTCCAGAGCAGCTGAGTGGACTTGGTCCTGCATTTCATAAGCAGCTGATGAAGCAGTTCCCCTCTGCCCCTCTGCAGGGCCAGAGCAGTGAGCACCCCCGGGACGGCTCCTGGATGGGGAAGGTGTTATCATGGTGATCAGCCTGTCCCTGTGTGATGGTGCCAGGAGCCAGATGGGAATTTGCTGCCCAGGGCTCCAGAAGCAGGGCTGGGACATTGAGGTCCTGCAGCTCCCCACATCCTGGATCTGCTGGGGCAGAACTCAGTGCAGCTGAAAGCACAGCATGTCCCCAAACACAGCATGTCCCCAAACACAGCATGTCCCCAGTACCATCAGCTCCTCCGTGGGGTGACAGTGGCCACACAGAGCAGCGTGAGAGCACCAGGCACAGTGAAAGCCCGACAGGGTGCTGGGGACAGGCGGGTGGTCAAACAGAACAGGCTCCTGCAAACGCCCATCCTGCCTCAGCCCGGCCTCCCGTGGGGTGCGGGGGAGCCTCCAGTGCTTCCCATCACACYGATGCCTCATTACTGGCACAAGAAGGAAGTGTCTGCCGGGATGGTGAACCTGAACCCTGTGGGGTCAGGGGTGCAGGAAACTTGCTCTGGTGTGTACCAGCCTCTGCAGAGCCAAAACAGGAAACCACAGCAGCCGGTGATTGCTGCGGGCACTGAGCCCCAGCACAGCAGCCGAGGGTTCCACCAGCTCTGTTGTGGCTACACCAGCCATGCACAAMACCCAGCTGGTCACAGGGGAGCAGGACAGGCCCGGGAAGGCTCCAAAGCCCCACCAGGACCACAAGGAAGGTGGCAGAGGTCACTGGCCCAGCAGGGCTAGGCAGGAGCTTGCCGTGACCACCCCGAGCCCGCGACACTCCCTKCACACACTTCTTCCTGCTTGGCTCTGCTGCGCCAGGACATTCCCACATCTCCCACCACGTTTCCCAGTAGAATGCAGGAAAGGGCTGTGCAGCATCTGAGGACTTACTGTAAACGGCACCACCTGCTCCTTACGTGGCAATTCCTCTGCAGGCCRGGGCCACGGGGACTGTTGGGAACAGGGACAGGGACATCTGCTCCCAGTGTGCTGCTGGGAAGCACAAGACGAGCCCAGGGCTGGCACTGGTGCCCCATCCACAGACCCAGGACAGCAGACAGCTGCTGGGGCTGGAGGAGCAGCAGGGATGCAGCTCTGTGTTCCCAGAGCCCCTCAGTTCCACAACGGCCCCTCATCTTCATCCTCTGACCCTGAGGTGCTGCTCGAGGTCCTGTCCTGGGAGCAGCTCAGCTGGTGGTGACCTTGCCCAGAGCCCTGGGGCCGGGGGAGCCCTGGGGCTGCTTGGTCCTGGCTCTCCCTGGGCCAGGCAGGGCTACAGAAGGCAGGGAGCAGGGGGTGGCAGCAGGAACCTGTGCCAGGAATACTTCTAGGCCAGGAAGTATTTCAGGATGCAGCTGAGCCCAGCAGGCTGTGTACATCCCCATGGAAACCCTGCTCTGTTGCTGCTTCCCCAGCCAGAGCGGCGGCCAGCTCCAGGGACGCAGCAGCTGTGGATTCTTCAGCCCTTCCATCAGCAGCCACGAGAGCTGCACTGCCCCAGCCCCCCGGCCCCAGCTCTGGCCCTGGCACAGACCTGAGCCCAGGGCTCCACTGCCCTTAACCTGCACTGCAGGGAGCGAGGGTGTGCCAGCCCCAGCTGTGCTCACTGCTGGGCACACGATGGCACAGGATGGYAGRKCCCTGTGGGTGCTCCAGCAGCAGGCTGCCCGGGGTGCAGCACAGAGTCCTCAGATGACCCTGGTGGAGCAGCCATGGGCAGGTGCCAAACCCCAGCCTTGGAGCATCCTGTGGCCTCACATCAGTCCTGGCCTCAGGAGGCAGCAGTGGCAGTGCCACACACATGGCAGGGGATGGGCACCCAGATGTGGCACCTTGTGTCTGTGATCCAGCCCTGCCCTCCTTGCTGCCCCCTCCTCACCTCTGCACAATGCTGGGGGGCCTGAAGGTCCCCCCCAGTCTGGTGGCTCTGCCCATCCCATGGCTCTGGCTGCCATCAGCACAGAGCAACTCTGGCCACATCAGCTGGGCAAGGGGAGATGGGTGACATTGGCACCACTTGGGCAAGGATGGGGTGTGTGCCTGGCGGAGGGCACAGCGGAGCAGAGGCTCCCCAGAAGGACCCAGGGGCCCTGCCTCGGCATTTAACAAGTGGGAATGGGAAGCACTTTACTGTAATTCCAGTAATTACATTGTTCATCCTTGGCAGCTGACACCATTGGTGTCCAGTGCCACAGGAGCAGGA